GGGCCCGCCTGGATAGCTGAGTTCCCTCTCTGCGTCTCCGTTTTCCCATCAGCAAAATGAGGGGACGCCGACCCCACCACCCAGGACTCTGTGAGCATCCCACGAGTGGCCCTCGTTCCAACACCAGCCCCGAGTTTCCGCTTGCCTCCCGGGATCACCTGCCTGGCTCTGGGTTCTCCCTCGTGCCAAGCTCAAGCCGGTCCCTCTGCTGTGGCTATAAATTAGCCCTGACAGCTGGCAAGGCCCATGCCTTCTCTGTTTTTTTCTCACACCCGTCCTGGCCGGTCTCGCGTATTTATTCTTCAGTGTAAATCTTGGAGACGGTTTGTCAGACTCAAAGTGGCTGTGTGCTGATTGACTTTGCCCCCCTTCTGGGGAAGGGAGTATCGAGGGCTGGGAGCAGGACCTCCGCCCGCTGTTAGCTGGTGCTGGGGAGTGGTGGGCAGTGTCTCTGAGCGACCCTGTAGGCCCAGGGAGAGCGGGGCAGGAACTCCCTCTCGTGATGCTGCGGCCGCCTCGTTGCTCCTGGCCCCGCGTCATACATTCGACGCTCTCTGATTTGGCGGCCTCATTAGAAGCTCTCATTTGTTCTGATAGGTTTCAGTTGACTCTTGGGGTTTTGAAGCAAATGGGGATGCTGCTGCTGACAACAGAAAGAGCCCCCGTCTTCTTCCTCTCACACCTCCTTTCATCTCGACAGGAGCCCAGGAGGCCCGTTGCAGTGGGCAGACTTGTGTTCCCCCTGGAGCGGGAATGCCCCCAGGATTCCACTATTGGTTTTGCTAATCAAATTAAGAACATTTCCCTCTGTATTTAATTTTACTAATGGATTTGGGGTCTTAACAGATCCTTTTTCTGTATTTGCTCACAAGATCATATACATTTTCTCCTTTACTTCCTTGGTGTTGTGACATCACACTCGGGTAAACCCTCCTGCATGCTGGTGGTGTGGTGTTGTAATACACTCCTGGATTCCACTTACTAACAATTTACTTAGGATTTTAGCACGTAGATCCTCCAGGGAGGTCTCCTCGTATGTATCAATACCCTGGTGTTGTCTGCACCTGACTCTGGTGATGGGATTAGGTCCGCTTAGGAAAATGAACAGTCACTCCTGTTTCTGTGCTTTGGCACGGTTTGACTGAGGTGGTACACTTATGCGACCACCCCCCAGGGCCTGGTGCCTTTGGCGGGAGGAGTTTTTTGACCACTTTACCCTCCTCAGTCGCGCTTGACTCCTTGACCACCCGCGGCGGGGGCGGATTTGGGGGGGGGGCGGATTTCCGGCGGGGAGAGAAGTGGAAGTCCTGCCCCTCCGAGGGATGCCCCTTGGCCACCTGTAGGCAGCGTGTGCGTGCCAAGCCACTTAAGTTGTGGCTAACTCTTTGTGACCTCATGGACTATAGCCCTCCAGGCTCCTCTGTGCATGGGATTCTCCAGGCAAGAACACTGGAGTGGGTTACCACGCTATCCTCCAGGCGGTCTTCCTAGCCCGGGGATCAAGCCCGCATCTCCTGTATCTCCTGCATTGGTGGGCGGGTTCTTTACCACTAGCGTCACCTGGAAAGCCCTGGTGGTAAACAGCAGGGCCCTGCCTCAGGTGCTCCTGGCCTCCCCACCCCCACCGCCTGGGCCTCTTCCTAGGCTGTGTGAGTCCAGGTGTCCTCAGCTCCTAGCGGAGGGACGGGGAGCCCTGGCTGCAGGCGGGATTCTGAGGACTCCGTGCTAGACAGTGCGGTCACAGAGCCCGGCAGGCGGCTTGTGTGCATTGCTGTGGCCCGGGCTGTCTGTCCCCTGGGGCCAGAGGCTCAGGGTGCCCGAGCTCATGTGCCCCAAACGGGGAGGTGACTTCCTGCTCTTGTGTGTGCTGGGAGTGGGCTTCCTATCTCTTGGCCTCCCTGGTCAGCATCCCAAAAGGCCCCCAAAGGGGCCTCCAGCTGAACTGGGGAGATGGGGATGGGGAGCTGGCCGTCCCAGAAACCTGATGCTTGGGGTCAGGGCCTTTGTCCCCCGGAACTTGGCCAATCTGGCTCACCAGCCCCAAGTTAAAAACTGACATGGATTCCACACACTGACCACCTCAAACTTGCTGTCTGATTCCATCTCCACAGTCATCTCTTAAAGGTGGAAGGCTTCATAATATTCATTTACAGAAGAAGAAACTGAGGCTCAGAGGAGTCAGGTGACTTCCCTGGGGCCACTCAACATGGACTATTGGGGCAGGACTGAGGCCTGCTCAGTCATCAGGACCCTGGGCAGCTTCCTGGGCCTGGCAGGTTCACGTTGAGGGGCCTTGAGAGTCCCCCAAAGCCTTGCCTGGGAGGGGGGGGTGCTCTGCCCTGGCTCCGGGGGGAGGCAGTGAGTCCCACGATGAACTTGCCTGTCTTGTCCTGAGGGCAGTTGAGGGCCGGGGAGATGGACTCCTCCTTTATGCCATGGAAGCCCTGCGTTCTTCTGTGCAGCCGTCAGACAGAAAAGACACTGGGCATGGTTTGAGGATTCTGGACTTCCTCCCCGGGTCCTTGGTCCCTCGGGTCACTCTGCGAGGAGAGGGAAAGGGAGATGAGGAGGCACAGGTGGCCTGCTCTCGCTCCACCTGGACCATCCCAGCTATGCAGGGGGGCAGGCATGGGCGGGGACAGGACCCCCAAGTCCCACATGCCCGGAAGCTCTCAGTGACACGAGCCTTCGGGCCCAGAGAGAGGCCTTGATCAGGCCCCTGAACACGGGGAGCAGCTGCCCGGTCATGTCCCTCCTACAAGGGGCACCGTTCCAGGAGCCCCGGGGCCTGGCTCTTGGCCAGCACAACAATCACTCAGGTTCATGTGGGCTTTCGGCTCCGCTGGGGCAACGAGGCAGGACACCGCGAGGCCTGCGGGGCGTCTGCTCCCTGCTCAGTGCTCCCTCCAGGGTCTGGTGTCCCGGCTGCACCTCGAGGGAGGAGGGGCCACATTCCCGCTCACCCCCGCCCCGCAGGCTACATGGCGGGGGCGGGGACCTGGCCTTCTGATTCCTGGCACAGTTTTCCCCTGCCTTCCACCTCACCGTGTTCTCCCGAAGCAGAGACCCTGCTGTGTCCAGGCCTCGAGGCCAGGACACGAGAGAAAACCCCACACAGGTCAAAGACGGGGTCAGAGGCAGCCACGCCCAGGGAGCTCTGGGGTTCTGCCATCAAGAGAGGCGGTTGGCCAGAGAGGGGCGAAAGCAAGAAAACACAACCCCAACCTCCTGCCACGTGGCTTCCCCGCCTGCCTGCGCCCCCCCCACGGCCCCACCAGCTTGTGACTAAGGAAAAACATGCAGCCACGCTGATGCGATTAGGAAAACGTTGTTTTACAAACACTGCCAGATCCTCGGGGTTGACCCCGTGACCCCGGAGAACAGCACACAGGCGTGTTGGGCCCATAAGGCCACTCGCAGCCTGGGCCCGGGACGGTCCTCAAGCAGCTCCCTACGCCGTGGGATGAGGGGCTGACACCTGCCTGCCGCTTGTCCGGGGGTTGGGAGGAGTGGGCTAGGCGCTCAGTGGGGGCCTGGGGAATGCGCCTGCCCTTCCCGGCTTGAGGAGGGAGAGGAGGGGACCAGAGTGCCCGCCGCCCAGCGCCCCCACCCCCCACGTGGACCTCGTGCTCCAGGTGAGTGGCCTGTCCTCCCGGCCTCTTGCGCAGCCTGTCCGTGAGTTTTCAGCTTGGGAATGAGTGTGGTCAGCGGAGCCCTGCACCTCCCTCCATCTCCCCCCACCCAGTGCCCTCCAGCTGGTCTGCTGTCGCTGGAGCGCCTCTGAAGGCCCCAGGAGGCCCATTCATGGGTCCACCACCAAAGGGTCCCAGCTGATATACTGCCCACCACCCCCCTCCACCCGACCCCGGGGTCTTGGCTTTTAGAAGAGCCGGGTGAGAGCTCAGCCCAGGCGGTGGAGGCTGCGGGGAGAGAATTTCAGCTCCCCACCGCGGGCTGAGGGCACCACCGAGGGCTGGCCTGGGGCTGGGCTCACCTGGCCGGAGGTTCGGGAGCCGGGGGTCTGCCCTAGCCTGCCACCTGCGCTGGTGGCTGCACCTCCCCTGCCCGCCTGCGCCGGGGAGGTAAGGCTCCCCAGGGCATTCAGTTAATGACATGCAGCTGCCCTGCCGTGTCCAGCACCACTGGGTGGTGACGGGGCGTGGGGGCTGGCGAGCAAGCCTCTGCGTGGCGGGCAGAGAGATCCTGATGAGGCTGTCCCCCCAGGAGGCTAGGAACCAGGAGCCTTCATGCTTGAGGGTGACCGCAGCCAGAACTCACCTGGATGTGGGGTGGGGGCGGGAAAGGGGCAGGTGCCCCAGGAGACAAACGTTTGGGCCCCAGAAGACTGCAGACCACCAAGGGCCCTCCCAGTTTACCTGGTCTGACCCCATTCCTCTGCTCTACTCTGCCAGGAGGGGACAGGGGCCTCTGGTCCCAGAGTCCTGGTGATACTGGGCAAAGGGCAGCTGGGGACCCAGAGGGATCCTGCCATCCTCACTGCCACCCCCTCCCAGGTTCTGATCCCACCTGAGCTGCTTGGCCCCATGGAGGCTGCAGACAAGGGCCTCTTCTTAAGCCTCTTTGTCACTGCCCCCACCTGAGCCCAGCAGCCTGGGGGTCTGGAAGTGGGGGTCTTTGACGGGGAGATGAATGTGCGGGACCCTGAGGAAGGCCGGGCAGGCAGTCTGTGTGGGGGTTGCTGGGAGGGCTTCCATGGCCCTGGTGGGGGTTCAGGGGTGGGGTGAGTGCCCGCCCCTGATGTGGGCAGTGCAGAACTCCCCCACACCCTGGAGGTGCTTTGCAGTGGGCTTCGCAGCCCTGCAGGGGTGAGGGGTGCAGTGGCCGGCTGCGCTGCGCGGCCAGGCGCGTGGCGGGTGGGGGGCGCTGCGCGGGCAGGGCGGGCCGGGGTAGGCGGGGGCCGTGTCGGCCAGGAGGGCCGGGGGCGCTGGGCGCGGGCGGGCGCGGGCGCGGGCTGAGGGGGCGCTGGCGTGTGCCCGCAGGCAGCCCGGCGCCGGGGACGGCGGCCGCGGGGACGGCGCGCGCCCGGACACCGCCGGCCTCAAGATGAGCGACTTGGACTCGGAGGTGCTGCCCTTGCCGCCGCGGTACCGCTTCCGGGACCTGCTGCTGGGCGACCAGCCCTTCCAGAACGACGACAGGTAGGGGGGGCGGGGGTGGGGTCGGCGCGCGGAGCTGTCCGCGGTGCTGAAGGCTGCCGGTGCGCCCGCGACCCGCGCCCTGCAACTTTCCCGGGCTTCCGGGATGGGAGAAGTTTGGGGTGGGGGGTGGGGGTGGGGGTGGGAAGCATCTTCCCGGGAGGGTCCTGGAGGGTGGGACGGGATGCTCTGTGCTGGGCAGTCGCCCCAGAGACCGATTCTCAGGCTGCCCTCCCCGGGTCTGCGCACAGGCCCCCAGCCCCGCCAGCTGCTCTGCGGACTTTGGGCACAAGCCAGGGCCGGAAGCGCTCCGAGTTGGAGCCCCGCGGCTGGGTGAGGACTGGCGTCCTCCAGACGCTGGCTCTGGTCATTTACTGTTAATCAGAGGATGTGTCCTTCACGCTCATGCGGTGGTCACTTACTAAGGCTGACAACATACCCTAGCCTCAGATTCTCCTGGGGCAGGGGGGCGGTGGGGGGGGGGGAGCAAAAAGCAAAATAAACTTGAGTCTTTCGGCAAAGGACCAGCAAAATGAGCCCTTGGAAATAATTCATGTGCTGAGGGGGCTGGCAGGAAGCTGGGAGAAATGTTGCTTTTCTCTGCCTTTTCCCCAAATAGCTGTCTCAGTAAACACCCAGCACTTTAGCTCTGTCAGCCTCAAGGGAGGTGCTGCTATGCCTGCAGGGACTCACACTGGAGCCTGAGGGACTTGGACGGAACCGCTTCTCTTGCAGTGTCTTGGGGGTGGTGGCCTGGTATCTGTGGGTCTCTTTCCCCACCCAGCCCTGAACTGGGCTTGTGAATCTGCAGTGTTCCCCCAGCGGTGCAGTGATTCAAGTTAGCACACAAAAGTCCATGAGGTTGAAAATTGTCAGGACAAAGATGGGGCTTTCGGAATAATCCACTGCTGAAACTGCAGCTGGGAGAGAAATCAGGCTTGTGAATGAGGCCGGGATGTACGGACTGTGCATGAGACTTGTGGAAAATGAGTCTGAAATCTGCTCTGCCTGCTGGCAACAGAACATCCTTCCAGACCTCAGATGGCATTCGCTTGCACTCCCTGGGTAGAATTGGGAGGAGACCAATGGATTTGAGCCCAGCAGAGGGGCTTCTTAAGGCCATGCACTTTTGTCTTGTCAGACTGAGTGCAGAGGTGATAGGTAAATCCACCAGAGAACAGACGCCCAGGTAAAGAGTTCACTTAGCTCCCTGCGTGGGCAGAGGCGGAGGGGGGCAGGGCTGGGGCTTCCCTAAGCTGAACGCGAGCTCAGCACCTTCCTGAGTCAGCACCAGCCCCTCCCTGCCTGCTCCACTGGGACTGTTATTTCTCTAAAACAGCAGCCCCGGAGGTTCTTTCCATGTTGGGCAGGAAACAGCATCCGTCTCCTGAGTGGGCCTGGGGCCTCCGAATGCTCCAGAAATGCCAGTGACTGCAGCTGACGTTATTGCAGTGACGCATCCCTCGGATTTCAGGAGTGGATGTCAGGTCCTCGCCTTCAGCCGAGGGTGGCTTGTGTCTGCCTGGATGAAACTGTCCCTGTCCCCTGGGACCTGGAAGGCTGGCACTGAAACTCCCACTGTGTTCTGGACCCTACGCCTTGGGTTTTTTTTTTTTTTAAATCGTGATAAAATACACAAAACCTAAAATATAGAGTGAAGTTTGGCAACTTAACATCATCACCACTCTGTACTTCTGGAGCGTTCCATCACCCCACCCCAGGGGGAAACCTGGTCCCTGTGAGCAGCCCTGCCCCCTGACTCCTGGCAAAACCCCAGTCTCTGTTCTCCTTGGCCTGTGTTCAGGGTGAAAGCCTCCTGTGTGCTGGGCCCAGGAACTTCCTGCTTGTGTGCATATGGTGTTTGGAGACCCAGTGTGTGTGCACATGCACGTGTGTGTGTGTGTGTGTGTGTGTGTGTGTGTGTGTGAGTCCTGCAAAGGAAGGACCCCCCGCGGTCCCCGGGTGGGCATGGAGGCTTTGCACTGGTGTCTGCAGGACTGGCTGGCCCTGGGGGGTGTCACCGAGAAAGAGGGGGAGCATGGCCTCTGCCAGGCTGTTGGGGGAAGGGTCCCTTGCCCACCCCACAGAGGAGCACAGGGCCTGGGTGCAGTTGGCTGGCCCTTGGAACAGCCCGGGGGCCCACAGGTGCGGCAGGGGCTGCTGCTTTGCACAAGGTGATTCTGCCCCTGTTCTCCGTGGGGGCTGGAGGGAGCGTGGTGCTGTCCTCACCACATACCACCTTGAGGGGCAGGGGCGTCAGTCAGTGGGGGGCCTGGAAGGGGCCAGTCCTCCGAGCAGGCAGCTCAGGGACCGCCCCCAGAGGAGCTTCTCTCTCTCAAACCTTTGCCTAAAGGTGGCTACGGGTCTTGCCTCTCATGAACCCCTCATGGTCACAGGTCTCATGGGGGCAGGCAGTGCTGGAAACCAGCTTGGGGTTCCTGGGGGGGTCCTGGGATCACCTGAGCCCCCCGTCAGGAAGACCACGTATGTGGAGACCCCTCCCCTCTCTCAGCTCCCTCTCCTCGGTACCTGTGGCCCCCACCCCATCACTGGTCCCAGAGTGGAGGACCTGACCTGCACACACCCTGCAGGTGTGTGGAGAGGTGGTGAGGTGTGTCCTGGGCGGAAGAAGGGAGCGGACACTGGGTCCGAGAGGCTGGAGGCCAAGAAGGCCAGCCTGTCTGTCCAGCCGGGCCAGGTGCACTCAGCGGGTGTCGGGGGGCTCAGGCAGGCATCCATGTGCCCCAGGAACAGCCCCCAGGGGCACGGGGTGGGCCTGACACAGGCTCCTGGGGCTGCAGGAGGAGGGTGAAGGCTGCAGGTGACTCAGCACTGCTGGGGGGGGAGTGTCGTGGGTCTGGGGGGGTGAGCTGTGCCCTCTCTCTGCACCACAGGGTGGGGGCGCAGGGCAGGGCGCAGCGTGGCTCAGTGCAGGGCTCCCTGCCCCCCCGGCTTGCACCTGAGTCCCTGCTGCCTGGCTCCTCTCCGGGCCCCGCTCACTCGCCCCAGGGCGGCCTCTGCGGGCTGAGCGGGGGCGCTGCTGCCCAACTCCTGGCAGGCTGTGAGTGGGCAGGCAGGGCTGTGGGCTTCCTGTTCTCCAGGGGAATAAAGCCACAGCCGTGAGTCACCAGGGCCTCACATGCTGCGGCCTTGGCAGGGAGGAGGGGCTTGGCCCACGTGGGCGAAGGAGGCCGCACCCCAGCGGCCCCCCACCCCCGCCTCTCCTGGTGGGGAGGGGCAACCAAGGAGGCGAGCAGAGCCAGGACTGGTGCGCCTTCTGGGGGCAGCTAGGTTCCCAGGGGACCCTCCTCACAGCCTCTAAGCCAGATCTCGGGGCTCCTAGGGAGCAGGGCTCCGGACAGAAGGACACCTGGACTCTCCAAGGCCTGGGGCTTGGGGCTCCCTGCCCTGTCCTGGGACAGCTCACTGCGCCTTCATCCCAGGAGCCAAGGGGCAGCTCCAGGGGGCCCCTCCCCACCTGCAGCGGCCTCTCCAGAGCACCTGGGGCACCTGGTCCTGGGGGACGGACTCGGGGGTCTGAGGGCCTGCTGCGTGGCTCAGGGCCTGCAGGCCTGGCCAGGTGGTGAGCCTTCCCAGCCCGCCCAGCCCCACCTCTGTCCCTCCTCCTCAGAGGGCTAACGGCAGCCTGGCCCGGAAGGGGCAGCAGGGAGCAGACTGGAAAAGCGCCTTTCAGACGGGGCTTTGGTCACTGTCTGTGTTCCTCCCCGTCCTGATCTGTAGCGTAGACGCACGGCATCAGCGCCCTCCCCCAGCTCCGGGAGATGCCCTGTGGGGGACAGGGGCCCCTCTACGCCCTGCAGTGCAGGAAACAGGGCGGTCACACTGCAGGCTCATCTCCAACAAGCGGCAGGATCCACAAAGGGCTGGGATGGGCAGAGCCGCAGCTGAGCAGGGGCGGCCGGTGGGCACCTGGTCTACGTGCCGTCGCCAGCTGCCTGTCCAGCAGGGACCTGGCCTGCAGGGACCCCTCACCACCGTGGGAAGTTCTTTCGGGGTCCACGCTCCCCTTGCTCCCAGACATCTAGTGGGGGGGCGGCCGGGGCAGATGTGCACCTCTCCCGGGGCAGGTGCCGGCCTCCTGCAGGGAGGAGAGGAGGCCAGGCCTCAAGGGGTCAGAGCACTGCCCGGAAGGGCCCTTCCTGTTTCCCTAAGCTCCCCTCCCCCAACAACAGCCTGACCGTCCCTGTGAGGTTGAGCAACACTCCGTCGTTTCACACAACAAGCCGGGACACGCGAGAGACAGGCCCGCCCTGCGGGGAGCCTGGGGGAGACCTGAGGACAGACCCCCGCCCCGCCCTGCAGGGGCCACCGTGGGCAGCCGTGGCCCCCAGACTGGCTGCAGGGAGGGGCAGGCGGGGCTCAGAGTTGGGGTCTCTGCGGGAGGTGTGCCCCCTCCGCACCTCCCCCTCAGCTGAGCAGAAGTGGACCCGCAGCCTCGGGCTCCGGGGGTGCTGAGCGGCAAAGCCAGGCCCCTCCCGGAGAGGAAAGGCCTGCCAGGCCTCCATGTGCTAAGTTGCTTCAGTCGTGTCTGACTCTCTGCGACCCCATGAACTGTAGCCCACCAGGCTCCTCTGTCCATGGGATTCTCCAGGCTGGAATACTGGAGTGGGTGGCCATTTCCTTCTCCAGAGCATTTTCCCAACCCAGAAATCAAATCCGCATCTCTTAATGTCTCCTGCATTGGCAGGTGGGTTCTTTACCTCTAGCGCCACCTGGGAAGCCCCATGCAGGGGAGTCAAGGTGGGGACGGGGGTCTCAAGGAGCAGCCCGCCCTTCGAGCCCTCACCTGCAGTTGCTAAAACAGCAGTCTCCGCGGGGCTGCAGGCTGCTTCGAAACAGGCATGACCGGGGTGGGGGTGGGGGAGCTTTAGAAGCAGCCTTAGGTGCTGAAGTGCAGGGCGGGCACCTTCGCCTGCACCACTTGGCTCTGCCTGGGTCTGCCTGCCCCCCCCCCCCGCCGTGTCCTGGTCATGGCCACGTGT